TCTCATCTCATCGATGTTTCTAACTCTCTATTTCTCTCCCTTCCTCTCTGTAAAAAATCAATAAAATACATATATTTTTTAAAAAAGACATCTGGGAACAAATATCCATAATGATGTCCAGAAATCTCCTGGGTCAAAGGATTTGAGAACTATGGAACCAAAGACGACTAGAAATGTATTGACCCAAATGCCATGTTTAATGTACGCAATTTAACATACATCTTCAATGTCCCAGTCAAGCTCTGGACTCACAAAGATAAATAAAATACAGCCCAATGAATGCCCTTAAGACAGTTCCAGTTTATTGGAAGAGAGAGACAAGTGAACAGATAATTCAGGTTCCATGTGATCATCTTTATACTAAAATGCACCTCAGAGAGCCCAGCTGGGATGGCTCAGTGGTTGAGCATCAACCTATGAACCAGGAGGTCATGGTTCGATTACCAGTCAGGGCACATGCCTGGGTTGCAGTCTTGATCCCCAGTCGGGGGCATACAGGAGGCAACCAATCAATGATTTTTCTCTCATCATTGATGTTTCTCTCTCTCTCTCCCTCTCCTCTCTGAAATCAATAATAATAATAATAAAAAAAGCCACGGTCAGATGACAGAAATCCCACACAATGGGAGAGGGGGCTGGGCTTACCATGCCAGAGACTTTTCTTGTCTTCTCCAGCTCTTGGAAGAAGTTTTCTAGTTCTTTACCTTCGATATACCCATTTCCTGCAAAGATAGCAAAGACAAAAAAGCACTTAACCTCAGAGCTAAAGAGTTAAGAGCAGTGGAAGGGGGTGCAGTGGGGGAGTGGGGAACTTTATGGAGAACTCCTCCTGTCTGGTCAACCAGCAGGTGTCTGGCCAGCCCCAGACCGTTAGGGAGGCCGGCCACGTGCAGGCAGGGGCAGGGATCAGAGTGAGCATCTCCAAGCGGAGGAGCACCACGGACTGCCGGCAACCCTAGAGCCACGAGAAAGACACGGGATGCATTGCCCCTCGGAGCCCGAACCGGTCCTGCCGACACCTTGACTTTGGACGTATAGCCTCCAGAGCTGTAAGAGAATAAATTTCGGTTGTTTTAAGCCACCCAGTTTGTGGTACTTTGTTTCAAGAGCTGCAGGAAACTGGTAAGTAAAGGAAAGATTGAAAAGAGGAAGGTGGGGATCCCTCCTGGGGGATGGGGGCACCCGGGAGAGTGGGCCACAGGGATTAAGCATGGGGGAGGCAACCCACTGCAGAGTGAGGGATAGAGGGGCTCTGAGGTCCGGGGTCCCAGGTTCAAGCCCTGGTCCTGCTGCACTTTCCAGCTCTAAGACTTTGGGAAGGTTACCTGTCTGGGTTTTGTTAGTGAAGTGGGATTTTGGATGTAAATTCCACCGCCCAACCTATTACGAGCGCATTGTAAATGTTTCTATTGTTTGTGTTCAATAACCAGACCCTGCGTATAAGATAAAAAGTGCCTTTGAGGACCAGGTCCCAAGGTCAATGCCTGACTTGCAAGGTCACGTAAGTAGTGAGAAGTCCGCTAGGTTCTCAAGTCTTGAACTCCAGATGACCCTGAGACCTGCGTGAGCTGAGTCCACGGACAAGGTACACTGGCCTGGGCTGTGGCCGTGACGGGGAGGATCTGTGGGTGGGGAGGCAGGCCCCAGGCACTGTTCCCCAGGCTGCGTGCTCTGATTTGGACTCTCTTGGGATCTTTAAAAAAACATGAACAACCGGCTCCTACCTCCTGATGTTCTGATGTAATTGGTTTGGGGGGTGATCTATTTTTTAAAGCTCCCTAGGTCATTTTCACGTCCAGCAAATTGGAAACCACAGGCCGAAAGTTCCAAATCTTATGTAAAGCAGTTAAACAAGATTTCCACGCAGAACATTCGACTTGAGGAGAAAAGGGGGGTGGCAGCTAGTTTGCTTCAGGGGAGAATGGAATTACGAACTAAAGGAGCATTTGCCCTGGCCTTGGTGGGGCCTGTGGGGGACGGATGGAGGAGGATATGGGTGTCCCCTGGCCCTCTGGGAGAATTTAGCTTACAAATAAATAACTCTAGAGGCGCCCTCTAGTGGAGAAGATGCCACAATTGTATATAAAGAATCACCCGAGATAAATGATGTATTTTTGTCTGCAGGGAAAAGATGTGATTGTAATGGGGGTAACGAGACTTGAGTCTCTCCCCCTCTCCCCACCAAGATAGAGTAGTCATGTTTCTTCTAAGGTGTTCTGCAGAGCTTCTTGGAGGAGTTGGAATGTCACGAGTGTGTGCCCACTAGCTGGTGGGAGAGGGCAGCCAGAGTTGCCGAGTGATGGCGGGAGAGGGAGGAGGAGGGGCTTTCTAGGCCGAAAGGAAGTCATCTGGTTAGTCACTAGTGGATGATAACTCTTGAGTTGGAGGGACAAGCCCTTTTTCTCTCCCTGCTCCTCCCTGCAGTGACCTGGCTGTTCTCCCATTTCTCAGGCAGGAAGCTTGAGGTAAGCGGCCGGTCCAGGTGCTGCTCCCAGAAGCCGGAGGCTGGGGTTGGAAAGGCGGCTCTGAGCTTGCACTGGGAGGTGCGTGAAGTGGAGGCCTCAGAGGTGGCCGGGGCCGGACGGGGTGGACACCTGAGTGAGCGTGCGTCTGCTTCTCCAGTGTGTTAGGAAGTGGCTGGAATGCCTGCCGGGGGCCCCGGAACGGGGTGGGCAGGGGAGACCCCTCTGGGCAAAGAGAGGAGAATGGGAGGAGCGATGTCCCAGGTGGCAAGAGGGGCCGAGCTGGGGTCCTGCCACTGGAGAGAGGCCCCTCCCGAACCCGGCTTGAGCAGCACCAGTGGCAGGAGGTTCCGAGGCTGGGTGACCCCCCTCTCCAGGCCGCAAGTACCCCACCTCATTGTGACCCCAACAAAGGGGCAGGGGTGTGGTTCAATTCAACAAGCCTTTATTTTTTGAACTGAATAGTTCAACGTCTCGGTGGGACCTCAGGGAGCTGTAGCCACGTTCTAGATATGAGCCTATTTTTCAAGAGCATTTAATGGTCTACTTGGGGGAGGCCGCCAGACAAGATCAACGTGAATCTACCAGCTGAAGGTGGAGGGTGAGAAGCGGAGGCTGGAGCTGCAGGGCCCGAACGGCATCCTCCACCACTGGGGGGGTAGCGGGGGGGATAAGGCCTTGCTCCTTTGGCCTCCCTCAGAGCAATTCCCTTCCGTCACCTGGGAAGCACCCATTATCCGAGGCTGGGGTGGAGGATGGCCTGTCTGCTTCCAGGGAGCCCTTCAGCACTGGGGAAGTGGTTTGCTTTTTCTATGACCCTCGTACTTTCTTATGGGATCGGGGCGGGGGGCGGTGGGGGGAAGGTAACGGTCCACCAAGCAAATCTCATGTGGATGGGTATCTGTATGAATGTGGTTACCATGGCAACCATCACCTCTAACCTCTATCAAACCTATTCTGCGAACCTTATGAAGAGAGGACTGGGTGGGAGCCAGGGACCCTGCACCCTTCCTTAGTTTACTCTTAGTTACTCTTGCCTTTTTTAAATTAAATTAGTTTTTTTTTTTAGAGAGAGATAGAGGGGAGGGCGGAGGGGGACAAGGAGAGAGAGGGACACATTGATGTGAGAGAGACACCCGAGATTGCTTGCCTCCTGCATGCACCCAGAGACCGAGCCTGCAACTGAGGTATGTGCCCTTGATCGGGAATCGAACCCGTGACCCTTTGGTCCTCAGGCCCATACTCTAGCGACGGAGAAAACTGGCCAGGGCTGTAGTTTACTCTTGCTACCACTTTTCACCGCCATTGTGCCTCAGTTTTCTCAACTTGAAAGTGAGACAACACTTCCTTACAATTTATCTGACCACGGCTACTCAGAAAGCCTTGACTGAAGGATGCTGCGATCACAGTGGATAGACGCCTCCCCGAGACACGTGAGCACAGCTTTTCTAAGAATTGAACAGGAGGGAGGAGCCTGACTTAAGAGGTGTAATTCTACCATCAGCTCTGTGACTGTCCATGTGACCTCAAGCAAGTCAGTGTCTAAGCCTCCATTTCTTCACCTCTAAGTTGGGTATGACTCCGTCTGCCCGTTCTCCTGTCTACGGCTGTTGTGAGAGCCACGCGAGGGGGTGTGACGCCAGCATTCTGGAAAATGTGAAGTGTCACTAAGTGGAAGCACCGCTTCTATACTCTGCCCTGAAGGTCCCTGAACCACCCGCTGGCTGTACACCCACCCGTTGGCCCAATGACAGCTGTCTTAGGGGGCTGGTTCTCGGCCCCAGGCTGTGTTGGAATCACCTGGGAAGCCTTTAAAATATATTTTTATTGATTTCAGAGAGGAAGGGAGAGGTAGGGAGAGAGAGAAACATCAATGATGAGAGAGAATCATGGATCTGCTGCCTCCTGCACGCCCCACACTGGGGATGGAGCCCGCAACCTGCATGGACCCTGCCCGGGAACACAGCTGTGACCTCCTGGTTCTTAGGTTGACATCGAGCCACACTGGCCTGGCAGGGATCACCTGGGACGCTTTTAAAACATCCCCGGAGCTTCTGACTTAATTGATGAGGCGAGGCCTTCTCGTGGGCACGTCTTCAAAGCTTCCCAGGTGACTCTAATGTGCAGCCGGGGGTCAGAACTGCTTCAAGCAGCGTGTCTGAAATCTTAAGGTGTGTAAGAGTGGCCTGGGGATCTTATCAAAAGGGAGATCCTGATTTAGTAGGTCTAGGGCCGTGGTTCTCCACCTTGGCTGCACATTAGAATCACCTGGGAATCTTTTTAAAATCCTGATCTCTGGGCCCCATCCTCCGGAAATTCTGTTTCTGTGTTATGGGGTGAGGCTACAACATGAGTAACAAAGAAACAGGATTGCCGGAGGATGAGGCCCAGAAACCAGGACTTTAAAAAGATTCCCAGGTGATTCTCATGTGCAGCCAAGGTGGAGAACCATAGGGGATAAGGGCTTGCTGTTCAAAGTGTGGTCCGTGGAACAGTAGCTTGTTAGAGATGCAGAATCCCAGGCCCACCCGTCCTGCGGAACCAGAATCTGCATTGTAACCGCGTGGGAACACACACGTCTGAGGACACTGCTTCCCAACGCCCGTATCTTCACAGAAAGACCATGCCTTTGGCGTTTACTCAAGGGGAGCTGGGGGCTGGTGTGAGCCCCGAGATGGTTACCTGGGTCTTGTACTGACAAGTGACCCGTCTCTATGACTCGAGGGGCCTGGACCAGCGCTCCTCAAAGTGTGGTCTGGGGCCTGACTGCGGCGGCATCACTTGCGGGGGGGGTGGTTACACAGGCAGGGTCTCTGTCCCATCACAGACCTGCGGAGCCAGGGGCTTCGGGAGGGCGGCTCCCACCCAGGCCTCTCTTCATAAGGCCGACACCTGTGCTCACAGGCCCTCGTGCGGACGCACCTGGAGAGCCGCTGGCTGGGTGCTGGTGGGTGCAGCTCGCCTGCCTGTGCGCCTCTGTGCTCATAGTTAAGTAAGAGCAGCTGGGGAGGGGAGACAGGCAGCCCCTCCTCCAGCTGCACAGGAGGCCAGGCCGTTTGACTGGCTGTGGGGGTTCCGGTTTCTGAAGAGGCAGGCCGCCCCCTGCCCTCCAGCCCGAGCTGGGGGGGAGACTGGCTTCCTCAGGCTCTGCCCCCATCGTGATATCACCGTGCGTGACGCCCACCAGGTATGGAGAGCTCTCCGCTCCCGCCCGCCGGGCCCTCGCACCCTGCCAGGCGAGTAGCCTGCGTTATGCACCC